CCGTGTCCGCCGACGTGAATGGGCCGCTTTTAGCTGCTCTGCTCGACATGACGAGCTACGATGACACGGCCGCGGCTGATCTGTTCCGCTACGGCGCGCCTTTGCTCGGAAAGCTGCCCCATGCGGGCAGAGGGCCCGCAAAGAAATTCCCGGAGCCCACGTCGTCCGAGGAGTTGCGGACCTCCTCCCCCGTGCACAATAGAGCCATTTTGTCTTCCTTGCGAGAGGACGTGAACTCGTCTGCGATCCACGAGGGCGCGCTCGCCGATGCGTCTCTGTCGCGGATGACCGCTCCGGTTGTGCTGGCCAAGGCGGACTTGGGCAGGGTGCGTCTGTCCCCGCGTTTCTCCATTGTGCAGGGCGTCAAGCCGGATGGCGCGCCCAAGGTTCGCGTAGTAGACGATGAATCGAGAGGGGGCATCAACTCGGCGTGCCAGCCCGCCGAGAGGTTGTTGCTGGACGGGGCTGACGTTTTGGTGGACGCCCTGCGCTGCTATCACGGTCTGCGCGGGCACGCACCGGCACTGTTTAAGGCTGACATCGACTCCGCTTACCGGCGTGTGCCTATCGCTCCTGAACACAGGCTCGGGATTTCCGGGTGCCCCCCCCCGTTAAAAGCATCGACCTGGGGGCTCGTGTCGGGGTTCCAGAGGAACCCGGCGTTTGCGGTGTCGATGTCGGCCTTGCCACAGGTGGGCAGCTTACAGCACGTATTTGCACGACGGAGACATTTGGGTCACTGGTCACCTGGCGTTGATGTTCGGCGCCCTGGCTGCCGTCTTTGGGTGGGACCGAGTCGGAGCTGCCTTGGCGCACCTCGCCCGCAAGCTCTTAAAGATTCCCACCCTCCGATACGTGGACGATTTCTTTGGGCCGTGCGCACCCGCAACTAAAGAGCATACCATGGCATCGCTGGCCAGACTAGTGCGCCTGCTCCTAGGTCCAGGAGCGGTTTCCGATAAGAAGCTGGAATGTGGCGACGAGCTGGAGATTTTGGGCCTGCATGTGTCCTTTTCTCTCAGCGGGATCAACTTGTTTCCCGCGCCCAAGAAGGTGCGCAAGTGGCTTTTCTTGATCAAGCAAGCGCTCGACTGCGGGACACTATGTGCCGGCCAAGCCAGCAAGCTGGCCGGCGCTCTCAGCTGGGCAGGTCAACATTGCTTCGAGCGGCTAGGGCGTGCGATGTTGCAGCCCCTGTTCGCGCAGCAGAATGCGCGACGGGGTGTCGTTCGCGCCCCGCTCAACTTGGCGCTGTCATGGTGGGCGGAGGTGCTGGCCCTCGGCATCCATCAGTCCAAGCCGTGGGCGCAGCTGGAACGGCAAGAAGTGCACTTGTTCGCTGACGCAAGGGGCGGGTCCGATCCACGGCTCGCCGCCGTGCTGTTCGTCGATGGTCGCGCCTTCTGGTCCGACGCCCCTCCAGACCAGGAGCTGCTGGAGGACTTGGCGCCGCGCCGGGACTCTCAGATTATGGCGTTAGAACTGCTCGCTATAGCGCTGGGATTAGCTACCTTTAGTGAACTGCTGGCGGACCGCCGAGTGGTGATTTGGTCCGACAATGTGGGCGCAGAAGGGGCAGTGCGGAGCGGTCGCGCTTCCGCTTGGGACCACTCCCGCATCATTCACGCCATGTGGTTCCTCATCGCACGCACCCGGTGTTCGCCGTGGTTTGCGCGGGTCCCATCAGCAGAGAACATCGCCGACCTTCCGTCGCGGGAGGAGTACGAGTTGCTACGTGTTCTTGGGGCGAACTTCGTGACGCCGCGCTTACGCGCGGCTGAGTTCTTCGCACCGGAGACGTTTCTGGCCCGCGCTCTGCCGGCGGGAGCGCGCCGTCGCGCGTCGTCGCGCCCCGCGAGCGCCGTTGCGCATCGAAGGCGGCACGAAGCAACGAAGGCGAGTGAGCCGCTGTCCCGCGTCGAGCCCGTTGCGAGCCATGCCTCGCGCGTGCCTTGCGAGGGCGGCCCGCGCGAGTTGATGCCAAAAGCCGACAGTGGAAGCTGCGTCGTTAACCGGCCCCATCGATGGGCGCCTGGTCGGTTGTCCTATGCGTCAGCGCGCGGTCCCAGCGCAGCCAGCGACGGGCGCTCAGTCGAGCGATAAGCCATGACGTTGTTTCATGAGGTCCGCGGCGTCCTGCCAGAGCTTTCACCCATGGTTACCTTTGCGTTGATCGAGTTGCTGCGGCGCCAGGACATAACGCATCTCAGAGATCTGCAGCTAGCGCGCGTCGATTGGTTCGAACCGGTGTCTGCCGCAGAAGGGGAACGAGGCGTCAGCCCTGACGCCCTGCGCGTAGCGCTGTCAGAGTTAATTAACGAAGCGAAGAAGCCATCTGCCGTCGTGCGCGGCGCAAAGGACGAACCTCCGCCTGCACCCGACGTGCATCAGCGCGAGTGCCGCAGCCGCAGTCGCCCTGCCAGGCGGCGAGCTGCCAAGTGCGATGAGCTTTCGGCGGCTTGCGGTGCTGTGCGGGACCTTGAGCTGGCCGTCAGCATAGCGCGCCAGTGCACCATCGAGCCGCGCGCGGGCCCCCGCCGTGAAGTCGAGGCCCTGCGGCAGGGCCTCGCCCAGCGAAGCTTCAGCGAATGGTCGAATTCGGCTCGGGTCGCCGCGATTCTGGGCAGCTGCCCGAAAACGTGGCCCAGCGTAGTCAGCGCCTTCCGCTGCTGGGCGACTTTCGCCATGACCGTGCTCGGCTGCGACGCGGGGGAAGTGATTCCGCCGTCGCCCGAGGGCCTTGCATTGTGGAGCACATGCTTCCGTTGTAAAGGAACATTCGACAACTATATTTCGCACGTCAGATTAGTCTGCATCCTGTTGCGCGTCCCGCTGGACGCGCTGAGCGACCCGGCAGTCGAGCGCGCGGCTCGCGCGGTGCAAGCGCGAAACACTTGGCAGGCCAGGCCCAAGATGTTTATTCGGGAGGCGCTCCTCACCAGAGTACTGAAGCATCTCGAACGCCACCGATCGGGGCGCGAGCTGCAGATGCTTTTCTTGACGGCGTACATATTCCTGTTGCGATTGCCGTCGGAAGCACTGCCGATGCACGTCGCTCGGGACGGCGATCCGCCGCGGGCGGTCGAGCCGAAGAGCTGCCTACGCCTGCATGACGGCTCGATCTCGCTGACGTTGCTTTGGCGCAAGAATCGCGCCACGCCGCTCACGATGACGCGCGCGTGCTGGTGCGCGCGCTGTCCATCAACGTGCCCCGTGCACGCGCTGGGGAAATTCTGCGCCGACAGCGCGGCCCAGCAGCCTTTTGCGGGTTTCCGCCCGGACGCTGTCCTATCGGCGTTGAGAGCGGCCCTGCAAGAGCTCGGGGTGCCGCGGCACGATGCCTATCGCACCCACGATTTTCGTCGGGGCCACGCCCAAGACATGGCGGTGCGTGGCTCGCGGCTGGCCGACATCCTTCGCGCCGGAGATTGGCGGTCCGCCGCCTTCCTGTCATATTTAGACAGGGATGCGCTTGAGGACAGCGCCGTCAGGGAAGCGCACGGCGGCGCTTCGTCCAGCGACGAAGACAAGGACTGAGGTGGCTGTGAGCCTATAGAACACCTTCGGCGAGAACAGCGTTGGGTTTTCCTCGCGCGCAGGTGCAGCAAGGGCCTTGGGTGTCGCTGCACCCGCGCGCTCCCGCGGGGAGCGGCGAGCGACGAGTGCGCCGCTCGCCCCCCCCCGCGGGCGCGTGCCTACCCAACGCGCAGCGCTCCCCGCGCTCTCCCCCAACCCTCGGGTTTTCCAGGGTAGCGTCTTTTGTGGGCGAGAACACAACGCAGTTTTGTTCGTTGTCACAAAAACGCGGACCTGGGAACCTTCTACCCCTGCCGCCCCGCCGCTGGCGCCGCGGTTCGCCGCGGTGCCTGTGGTGGGGCGGGTTGGGTCGGTTGGGGGGTGCGTTTGGGGTGGCTCGCCTCAGGTCTTCATGGACTTCGTGTTCCTCGTCTTGTTCGTGTTCTTTGTCCACGTCTCCCTGCGGTGGGGGGAGGGTAAATATACCCCCGCGTCGCGCGCGCTGCCCCGAGGGCGCTTGTCGGCCGAACGCGAGGCTGGCGCCCTCGGTGCGCGCGTCGCGGGCCGCCGTGGCGGCTTTTGTTTCCCCTCACCCTTCGCCGCTCCTTTGGTTGGGGTGGGGCGCGGGGTGTCGCTGCACCCGCGCGCTCCCGCGGGGAGCGGCGAGCGACGAGTGCGCCGCTCGCCCCCCCCCGCGGGCGCGTGCCTACCCAACGCGCAGCGCTCCCCGCGCTCTCCCCCAACCCTCGGGTTTTCCAGGGTAGCGTCTTTTGTGCGAGCGGTATTTCTAGTAGGGACCTATGAGAAGTGAGCTTGGAGGGAGGATGTACTGCAACATCGTTGATGAGTCTTGGGCTTACCTGGTTCTCCTCGATCCCCCTCCTCGTCGACCCTCCTCGATCATCGTCGTCCTCCTCATCTTCTTCCTCTTCCTGGAGCACGACTGGATTCTCGTCGGATCTATGGCCCCAGCGCGCCCCTCCAAAAGCGCACGCTGTTCCTCCTCTTGACGGCGGCGGTGGTGGTCAGGCTTCGGGCTGCACACAGGCAGCACTCCCAAACCGTCCTTGCTGGCTTCAACAGTCCCTAGTCCCAGCTGGCTTCAACAGGCCCCCCGCGTAGCCCAGGGCGGTCTCAACATCTCAACCCTGGGTTGCTGAGCGTCCCAGGGGCGCCGCCAGAGGCGGCACCGGGGTGTTAAGACCGCCCCAGACTACGCGGGGGGCCTTTTGAGCTTTTGAGGCCAGCTCTGACTGTTCGGGGGGCATGTTGAGGTCAGCTTGGTTTATTTTGGAGTGCTGCCCGCGCGCAACCCAAAGCCGTACCAGGCGGTGATCACCATCTGGCTCAAGGATGACACATTCTCCGTGGCACTGAATCGATCCTCCCTGGCGTGAGGGCTTTCAGTCGAGCCCGAGCCCTACTACACATTGCCAGGAGCACCCTGCACATCACTGCCAGAGGCACCGCATGTTCTGATCGGAATGGCGCACGCGCATCCTCGTGCGATCAGGAATGCCACTCTGGCCGCACTGACCGTCTGCTCGGCTGCCGCCCTGGGCCTGGCCGAGAGCCTCGAGATCAGCGCCGACAGAAGCCGTGTCAGCAGGACGGGCCGGATTCGTGGAGGCGTCGTCTCCACCGAGATGGTGGTGGTGGAATCGGAAGCAGAGCGGAAGCAGAAGCGTGGAGATTTCAACATCACCAGCGCTGCCGAGAAGCTGGAGTCCCGGGTTCGCCTGGAGTCCAAAGACATGACGTGGCCGCAGGACAGTTTCGTGAAGTGCCTCGAGGGTAACAACCAGACCGCGTCCAAGGTGGACAGGGAGGGGTGGTGGAGACGGAAGATGGACGAGGAGGAAACGGATAACAAAGATGAAAGAGGAGGAGGAGGAGAAGGAGGAGGAGGAGGAGGTGAGTTGCGAGGGAGTGAGAGAGTGAGGGATTGAGGGAGTGAGGAGATGCGGGAGGAGGGAGGAATGAGGATGAGGTAAGGAGGAAGGGGGGAGGAGGGAGGAGATAGGGACATGGGACGTTTGAGGGGGGAGGGGGGCGGGGAGAGGATAGGAGGGATGGGGGAGGAGAGGAGGGAGGGAGGAGAGGTGTTGGGAGGAGGCACGAGGGACTAGGGAGGAGGATGAGGAGGATGAGGAGGGAGGAGGCAGACCGCATCCAAGGCCCTTCGGATGAAGCAGTGCCTGGTGGCCAACCAGGCGCGGTGCGAGAGCCCCAGGCCTGACCGGCGGAAAGCTCGCACGGCAAACCCGTAGGGGGTGATCAGGCAGGGTAGCAGCACGTCAGAGTGACCCTTCGCCAGAGTGACCGTTGGTGCGGGCCCAGGGGCTCCCGCCAGCGCTGGCTGCTTGCGCGCTTGGATTTGACCCCCCCGCGGCCCCCTACAGCCGCGCACCCAAGGTCACTCTTCCCCCAGGGTCTCTCTCTCTCTCTCTCTCTCTCTCGTGTGAACGAGGGGGAGGCGGAAGGGGGGAGAAGGGCGGGAGGGGTCCATGCGTCTGGACGTTTTCAGTCCGTCGTGGGCCTCCAAACGCCCACGGAGGTCTCTAGTTGGAGCCGGCTGGGGGTCTGAGCCAGCCAGCAGGGAGGCGGGGAAAGAGGTTCGAGGTTCTGGCTTTGAGACCGTTCTGTGCCTCTTTCGCCTCCCAGGGGCCGTCTTCGGGCCCCATGGACCCGGGGTGGAAAACTACACCGGACGGATCCTGGGCGGGGTCCTGGGGCTGATTTTAAGAGGATTTGCCGCCTTGATTCCCCTCTCTTGGCCGATTTCCTCGAGGCCCATACAATTCTTGACGCTCCAACCCATTCAGAAACAGTGCGCCAGGCGAATTGAAGCGTTGTTGTGAGAGGTTCTAGGGGGTCTCTTGGAGCCATCTTGGCGCTCTCTGGAGGTCCTGTTGGGGCCCTCTGGGGCCTTGTTGGGGCTCTTTTGGGGCCATCTTGGGGCCGTCTTGGCCCCCGTAGCTCAAAAGGGAGGGGTCCTCAATTCAGGCCCCCCCCTCGGAGGCTCAAACACTTGCTCTTGGGACCTTATTGGGGTGCTCTTGGGCGCTCTTGGGGCCCTCTTGGGGCCATCTTTGGCACCTCTTGAGGCTCTCTTGGGCCGTCTTGGGGCCATTTTCAGGCCTCGGAAGCCCATCAGAAGCGAAAAGGCCAGAACGCAAAATCATTCCACAAACAATGCTTGCACAGATGGGCTCGTACTTATCTTATGCATCTGGGGACCAGTGCCGGCTTTTCGTCGCCGTGCCGCCCGTTTCCGTCCGTCGCCGCCTTGCTTTGCTTTGTTTTATGTCACTTGATTTTCTTTTGCGTCCGTAGCCATTTTGGCTCAAGTAGCACATCTGTCGAGGCAGCTGGTCAGGTCAGCGTGGGGCCTGCCTCGCAGCCCGCCACACACGAGGCGGGACCCCATTTTCGGCATCGAGTCACTCAGCATACTGTCGGCATCTCTGCCCCCTCTTCTCTCGCTTCTTCCCTTGCCACCATGGGTGCAGGACGCAAGCACCGTACGCGCCACTCCGAGGATTCGCATGACGACCGCCGTGGAGGTAGACGAGGACGTGATGATCGATCCACATCGCGTAGCAGATCATCGTCGATCGGTATGGACACGCGCAGCTCGTCTGAACCCTCCGACATGAGCAGTAAGAAGTTGGACCAACTCGTTGGCAGCATGGAATCCGTGTCGCAAGTGGTAGCCAGTCCTAGTCAACATGATATTGCTATCCGTAGCGCTTGCATCACCAGCACCGAACGTTGCAGTCAACTGGTTGACCACATGACGTGAATGTGCCGCGAGTTCCAGAACAAGCGTGTTGAGTTGCAAAACTTTGTGAGCACCGCTGTGTGCGACCTTGACACACGGGTCGCTCGTTTGCAACAAGAGTTTAGTGCAGGTGGCCACCAACCCCGTGAGGACGGCATGGATGTGGAAGCTGCCTCCCAATTCGTCAGCCAGAAGCTCTCGAACATTGAAGACGCTATTACGGACTTCAAGACTCGCAATAGTATTTCTTAGAAGCAGATGTGTCATTTCAACTCCACTCCCACGCCGCGTGGGACCAGCAGCGTGCAATCTACCCCGCCCCAACATGCGATCGATCACAACTACAAAACCAGACCTGCAAGCTTGTGATCCTGGGCTTCAGGCGCCCCATGCTCGCTAAGGAACTCCGCATCATTGGTGAGCTGCGCCAGCTTGCCTTCGCCCCAGCTGCGGAGGCACAGAAGATAGTGGCACGCGCCTTTGACATGAGCAAGAAGATCACCCTGCATTTCGAGACTCCGTCGGCAGCAGGGTCGTTCATGGACAACTACGTCGCCAAGCAGAGCAACTGGGACTATCCCGACCCCTTGAACCCCTCGGTGAGCCGATCCTTGAGGCTTCGCCGCGATATACATATCAATCCTCGCCAGCTCTTTTTGTCTGTCGGACGCGCGGGAATAGGATCACCGACCTAGTCCGCGGTAAGTGATGAGAGGTTGGCTCCTCAGGGTTGGGCGGAAGTGTATACATGTTGCGCGGTCCTCACGACCCAGTCCAGGTTGCTGCTGTCGCAGTGGACGACCAAGGGGCCGTCTGCTGCGACCTCGACCAGGACGCCTTGCTTGAATGTGAGCTTACGCAAAACGCAGCGTCGATCTCCGCAGCAGCTCAGGTACAGCTGCAGCGCCCCTTTCAGCGCTGACTTGAACGGCTTAGGCAATTGTTCAGTGCCTCACTCTCCTCCTCCTTCATTGTCTGATAATGGTATCCAGCACTTCCTCCCCGACCTTCCGCTCCGAGCACGCGCGTGGGATTGCCGGGCGTTGACGACGTCAGTGGGGGCAGCGAGCAAGATTGCATCCAAGCGCTACTTCAAGTTCATAGAGATTGCTAAATCACACGACATTCGAACAGCACAAGAAACATATGGACACATCGGTGACACTAACGACTTGGAGCGCGAGCTCAGGCAGCACCGCTTCGGATTCTCTTTCCTCGGCTCTAACCGCGAGGGCGGAGTTGTCACTGCGCTCTCGGCTAGGCTGTGTTCTCGGTTCGCTGAAATACGGCATGGGGCGCCCATCCCAGGGCGAGTTCTCGAGAGTTCCCTTTGGCCCCCAGGGGGACCTCATCATCTACGACGCCGCCCGCGCCGATTTCCAGAGGTGTTCTCGCCGCGATTCGACGAGCCATGCGACCCCACCTGCCTGGTGAAGATGGGCAGCACGCGCGCTGTCTTCCCATGGGCGCTTTAAACTTGGCGGTTGAGCACGAGGGCCGCTTATGTTGCGACACTGGTGTGTTTACTCCTGGGGGCGTTGGCCATTCCCGCTGCTTCGGCAAAACGTTCCCCTTCCTGACTGAAGTTCACCAGGACCAGGACACCCGACGTGGTCAACGTGACAATGCTGTTTCATCTGCTTCACGAATTGACAGGGTTTATATTTCGGTTCCGCCTCGCCTCCTTCGTGATTTTACCATCCGGGCTCACGCGATAGGCCCCCCGCGGGCTCGCGCGAGTAGTGATCGCATCCCCGTCGTCGCGTGCATCGACCCCTTCGCCCCTTCCGCGAGCTCTCCTCCCATTGCCCCGTGCATTACCGAGCTCCCCGAGTTCCAGCAGACCTTCGACCGCCTGGCGAGCGCGTGTATTTCTTCTTTCGCCCAGAAGGGGTCGGCAGCACCGATGTTTTGTAGACGCGCAATCTTAAGCAGTCCGAGTGCCCGCGGGCGGGGCTCTGGGCCCACGAGGCCAAGAGAGGGGAAAACCCAGCCAATCACCCGCATTTGAGAGCATCACCGCAGCCCAGCTAGCCATGGGCAGCCCGCGTATGAGATGTTTGCTGCAAGAGCCGCTCATAAACAAAAACACTCCCGTGACCCAAGGGGATGGAGAGGGTCGCAGAAACATCAGCGGGATCCGGCAGCGCGCCCGCGCGCCATCCCAGGACAACCCCGCCCTCAGTCAGCGGTTTCGGGGCTTCGCCCCCTGGATGTTTGAAGGCTCCGTGGAGAAAGAAGTCCTGATCGATGTCAGATGTCCCTCTCACCTGACTTCAGAGTGGCACCCTGAATCCGGATGGGCACCGCGGCGCCCCGCTCAGCCTGCACGCGCGGGCAAACCCACAGATGACGAAGTAGCGCGTCCCTGTCCGTGCCGCACAGAGCACACTCATCAGAGACCAAATGCGCCGCTGCCGCAGCGTCTTCTGCAGCCCATCAGGAAATGGTGGCCAACGCCCGAAACCGCCCCTTCGTAGGCCAAGATTTCTGTTTTCGAAGCTAGAAGTGTCGTGGGAACCTTGGGGGCACAGCTTGCAAACACGGCTGGACAACAGTGGGGGTGAGGGGGCAATGTGATGGATTATTCTCGACCGACGCCGCCTGGGGTGATCGCAGGGGCAAGGCGCGGTCCATTCAAGCCTGTGCAGGGACATCCGCAGAGCCGAAGTTGGGCCCGACAGAGGTCCAGGAGCGTTTCTTTTAGCGAAAGCACGTAATTCTATCTTTCACGCGCCCCAGCCCGGCTGAGAGACCAAGCAAGCGCGCTGGTTCCCCCCGTTTGAATTTCGCTGACCCATGCGATGATGGGCACGCCAGTGAGTCGCCAAGACGCATCCCCATCCAACCGACGCAGGACCAAGAGGTACCTGCCTTGCGCCCTAGCCGCACCGGCCTTCACACAGGGCATCCCCACGCGACAGAGGGTGAGGAGCTCTCTTTCTGAAGTCCCACGCGCGAGCCGAGCGCGCGCCCCCCCCGAGGCCCCGCCGAGCAAAATATTTTGGCATGTTCGCCCCAATGTTCCACTCAACTTGCGAAGCCTTCTTGTTTTACTGAGGGCAGCAGCAGCGGCAGCTTTCTCCTTCATGTTAGCACTCCGTCGCCAGCCAGGATTTCGCGCGAGCCAGCCAGCGGCGAAGTCGGAACCAAAGTTTGCGACGCGCTCGCAAGCTCCAGACAGGCCAGGGACAGGGCGAATGGGAACCGGAGATCCCCTTTGAGTTGCAGAGGACAAAAACCTAGTTTTGCGGAGCGCTGCGCGCGCATGAGTAAAAGTAGCTTAGGGGGAAGTCGAGGGCATCTGTAGCAGGGGCGCGACTTGCACACGGGGCGCAACAGTTTCACGTTTCGAGCGCGGGCGCGCCCAGAGCGGGGGACAAGGACATCGCTGTCAGGGTCATCGCAGCCCATGGCGTCGATGCCCCCCCACCCAGGACGCGCGACAA